GTTAAAAAAGTTTTTTTTTTTTTTTTTTTCCTTTGAAACTTTATTAAACTTTCCGTTTTAAGGAAAGTGTGACTTTTGAAAGAGAAAACAAGAGCACGAGGGATATCGCTGCATGCAGACGTGTACGTAAGACGCAACGTATGCATTGGATCCTGGCGCTGCCGTTGCGGTAAAGGAAGGAGCAGTGTGGGGACGCCGAAGGGATCACGTTCGAGCACCTGGATGTGGAGAACTCAGCTCCTTTCGAGCGTGGCTGCACAAAACCCCTGCTTTGCACTGCAGGATGAGGGACATTGTGATCTTGAAAAAGTGGGATGTTTGTATTTTCTATGTTCTTTTTCGTGAAAATGCTTCAAGGAAAAAAAGAAAAGAAAAAAAAAAAGATCCAGTTTGGTTTCTGGTACCGTGACATTCTTGTTGTTGCAAAATAGGCTTTGTGTTTTTGTAACGTTATTTTACAGTTCTGAAAAAAAAGGCACAAATATCAATTCAAAGGGAAAAAACGCAATAATGTCAACTAACATACATTTTTAACGTTTATCCGTAGTATTCACATGCTTTTGCCTGAAAACAAATACTTGAATATATATATAAATATATATGAAATAAATATGAAAATATATATTATAATTAGTTTCCAGGGACATCATGTAATATTCTTTTAGTCTGAGCTGTATCTTGCGTAATGAGCCTCCAAGCTTCTTTTTGTTTGTTCATTTAAGTACAAATATGGGCACTGTATAAAGGCATTATTTATTTTGTTATAAAATTATATATTACAATCGGTCCAAATACAGTAATATACATAGCACTGATGCTCAACTGATGGATTTTATTTTATATGCTCTCTTATTTTCCCATTTTACATGTAAATGCTTTTTGTAGATGCTTTGTACCAAAAAAAAAATCTTTTTTTTCCCTTTTGGTTCGCCACAGAGCTATATTAAAATCAATATTTTAACAGCAGCTGTAGCCTGGATCGCTTAGGCATGTTGTAATACAAAAATAGGCACATACTCAGAAGACTCTCTCTTTCTCTCCCTCCCGCATGGCTTTTTAATCTGCCAAATGGATTTCTGTTTATAAAAAAACAAAAACAACTACAAAAAAAAACTTGTGTTTAACTTTCCTCACGAGGATCTGGATAACCCGGTCTCTATATG